TTAAGCCTGGTAGGTACACCAACATACCAGCAACCCCTGTTGAGAACTAGCAGACTCAAAATGTACATATTAATCATTTCTGATTTCCAACTTTCTGAAGTAACAAAGAAACACATTCTAGTATGCATTAGTATGGAAAAGGTAACAGTTAATTGTGTGCGAGAGGGGGAATGGGAACCGAGGGGAGTGGTCTGTTCAGGCTACAGGCTCGAGAGAAGAAGTAGCCAATAGCTGAGAAACTCAAAAAAAGGCCGTCTCTATCTATTGTGCTAGTGCTGGATTTCCCACGAGAGGCCCGTCTGCTTGAAAAGGGGAGTGTATCAGTTTCTCCTGACATGGATGTTTATTCATTCTGTGGCCAACTGCACCGCCAGCTCAAAAGGATTCACCTTACCGTTTTGATGTGTATGAACACACACACTTTTTTGGGGGGAGATAGGTGAAAAAGAAAAACACTGGCACATGGAGAGACTAGTGTGAGCTGTGTGAATAGGCATGTTCGCCCTCACAGTGACAGTATTTGTGACAGTATCATGGTTGCTTGTCTGGACTTAGCTTTTGGTGTGAAGTGAGCCACCATTTTGTAGTGCAGGATTTCAGAATCCTGCTGGAAGTAAACCTTTACTGCTGCTATAAGATTAGTTTGAGCATTTCTTTCGTTGGTGTTGGACATTTGGGTAACCAGTATTCTAGTAAACAGTCTTTGAGAGACATTAAGAAACAATTTTTCCATTACATCTGTTCATTACTTGTAGCCCAGACATCCACTGGTTTCTAGGGAGGAGACAAGTGGACCATTGGACTACTAAATTGTTTGTAGTTAGCAGTGTTGCAGCAGCAGGTTCAGATTAAGATATAATTATGATTATACCCTTACTGATATTCAGTTATTTGTGAGTTGAGTTAAATATGTATGGATTTTGGACTTTCTAATCATGCCAATTTTCTACATGTAACATTTAATTGCATTGAATAGCAAAATAGTTTTTTACAAACTATCAAAATAGTGTCAAACCATTTCTGATGACAACTTACCAATTTCCTGTAAACTGTTGATTTAAAAAATCCAGTTCAAGATGTTCAATTTATTCAACATTTCCTTGGACGCAAACCCATGACCTTGAGGTTGCTAGCATCATGTGAGCTACAGGGACTTGAGGGACCTGACAAAAGGCCAAAATCTGCTAGTTATTGTTGACAGAAATTTTCTTCTAATCAGATTTGTCAGACTGTTCTTTTATCCGCATAGGCTAACAGTGCTTCCTTTAGTAAAGATCATATTTCTTCAAGGGGACTGTCCAATTCAATGGACTAGTTGTTTTGGGTAAAACATCTTCCAGTTGAGTTTTTGTTGGTAGAGGAAAAGGGTAAAATAAGGATATAATAAGTTCTCATTCTCTATTTACTTACATAATGTGTGAATTATTTTAGAGTATTATTAGAACTGAAGCCCCATGACTATATAAGCAAACATCTCGGTTTGGCTTTGTGTGGCGGGTAACTTACTAACTGGCATTAGGCTATGGAGTTGAAAGGGTCCAGCTTTTATTCCCCAGTTAACATTATTCAGGAACAGGGCACAAGTAAAGTATCACTTTATTCTCACTCTAAATACTCTTGGATCTTATTAGCCGATAAGTCTAGACAATTCCCTTATTTCTTTAGCCATCCAGGTTTAACAGCTTTAGCCTCTGAGGTAGATAAGTCAAAACAAACTTGGCAAACTGAAACCGTCTCATTTCTGGAGCACCATTATCGTCTAAAATATCTCAACACTCAGCTTCTCCTCTCCCTCTTGACCCTTTGTGAGACAATCGGAACCTGTGGACCCGGTTGCCATGTTCAGTCTTGGTTTCAATGGCTCCATTGTTGTGTTGTAACTAGACGCCAGATCTTGTTGTTTGATCCACTCTTCTGAAAACTTTTCTCTTCCTTTTTGTTAACCACTGGATCAGCTGAGAAGGTCAAGGAACATTGTCTTTTGTTGTGCAGTCTCTTCCTGTATCTTCTCCTTTTTGGGAAAAAAGAAAAAGTGGTTTGGTATGAATTGCATTTAAAACGTTAACAAATTTTTCCACTTGACTAAGTTGTCTGTTCTCTGCAGCTCTTAAAGTGGTTGGCCATTATTATCATGCTAGTTTGTTGAAGCCTATCCACATATTTGCCCTGGAGTTGCTTGGTTTCGCAGCAGGTGTGTCTGTCAGCCGGCAAAATCATGGTCTTTTGTGTGAAAGCATAGAGGCCGCTGTCTCTCAGCCTGAGTGCTAGCAAACTGTCAGAAATCACGTTTTAGTGGCTTGTTCAGGTCACGCTGAGAGAGCAGCCTCTTGTTCCTTACTGTCTCCTTTCTTTCTTTCTTTCTTTCTTTCTTTTTCTTTCTTTCTTTCCTTCCTTCCTTCCTTCCTTCCTTCCATTTTGCTGCCCACATTTGCCAGCGTATATGAAAATAATGCATGCTTTATTCTATTTTGACCTCTTTGTATTTTTATTTTATTTTATTAGACTTCTACTGATAAATGGTCATGAATTTATCCATATCAGCTGATTTGTTTGTAGTAAAGCTTATCATTCTGTTGGTGGTAAACAAGAGCTAGATTACATCCTTCCTTTAGCAAAGCATTGCTATCAGTAAAAGTATCCACCAGCATAAGGGAAGACAGACATGCAGACACCATCATCACATTATACAAGATCTTATTGTCTGGCCGGCTGCTTTGCCTTGTGTGGCATGATTTGTAGGAAGCCATCTGTGCTCAGCCTCTTTTGAAATGTGAGAAAGAACATATGCATTTGCATGAGAATAATTGACACTTCAAATTAGCCCTCCAATCACAAAGGTTTATTTTTAGTGTATGGGTAAGTAGAGGCTCTTCCATTCTGGGGAGAGAAATTATGATAAGAGATGAAGATACTAGGAAATCAAACCTGCAACAATATTTATTATAATTATTGTTGTTGATGATGTTATTATATACTGAATAATAACAAATAACAAATAAATAAATATGTAAAAATAAATAATGCATACAAATACATTTCCTTTATTTACAATAAAGAATGCATTATATATAATGTATAATGTATACCGCCATGAATATAGCCGAGGTAGCTTGCATGGCATTAAATCATAAACAAACAAACATATATAATGTATATAAATAATAATATTAGATGTTGTTTAAAAATATTGTTTAATAATATAGCAATATATATTCCACTTCTGTAACTGATTATAGCCAAGTTGAGACAGAGTTCTTTAGAGTAATGATTTAAAACATTGAGCCGACTGATTAATTTTAATATAAACATCAGACAGCGTTTGTAGATCACATGTGCTGGAGTGTGTGTGTTTCAGTATGTTTGTGGACTCACATACTTGCTCTGTAAGTGGATGTGGTAGTGCATATATAATGTTGTAGTGGAGAGAGAAAAACTGAACAAGCACACTGTTACATTATTGATAACAGTTAAAGGGTTCATATGATGCTGCTAAAAGAACATTATTTTGTGTATTTGGTGTAATGAAATGTGTTTATGCGGTTTAAAGTAAAAAAAACACATTATTTTCCACATACTGTACATTATTGTTTCTCCTCTATGCCCTGCCTTTCTGAAACGCGTCGATTTTTACAAAGCTCATCGGTCTGAAAAAGCGAGGTGTGCTCTGATTGGCCAGACTTTTATAAAGAATATCTCTTTGAATTTGAGACTTTAGTCTTTGCAACTTTACAGATCTTCTTTATGCACCAAGAGCTTGTAACACTCCAAAGAGAAAGGAAAAATTGAAATCACATCATATGACCCCTTTAATGAAATGAATCCATTTCTAGATGAACAGAGGGATAAACTGTACATGTCCCTGGGTACCCAGAAAAGCACACAGAAATCTATACACACACAGAAAATATTTCATGGATAAATATGAACTACCTAATATCTAATTAGAGTGTCAAAACTGAGAAGATTTATGAAATTTATAAAAATTGGAAAATATTGCACCACTTTGGTGAATATGTTTTCACACAGTGCTAAATGCATTTATCTAGATTTAGCAGTTTCTGAAAGGCCCTACGACAGGTCAGCCCCTGCTCCATTGGGTTAGCCGTTGGAAGACGGGGTTGGTTTTGCCCACTCTTAGATGGCCATGAATTCATTTGCACACATATGAAAGGAGAGGAGCCCCTGGCGAAGAGATATTTGTGCTGTCTGGTGTCAGATACCAAGATGGGGGTGTGTTTGTGTGTACATGGATGCTCAGCCTCACCCATCTTGCCTGGTGGAAGAGCATAGGTTTATCTTGGTCTCCATGGCAACACTACAGGATGCCAGGGCCGTACCAAAGCGTGGGTACCCAGGGCAAAGCGCTTGATTCGACGGGACAAGAAAAGAGAGTGATTATGTGCATTAGTTACATTAAATAGTAGTAGGATAAACATTTCAAGGTTGAATGGAGAAACAGTTGCGTTTGTCTCTATCGTCCTGGTCAGGGACGATATTTGTTTAGAATTTTTATATTCCTATGACCTGTAGTCACACATTTATTTATTCTCACATCAACACAAGAAAGCACTGACTTTCACACAACGTGGGACTCAACTAAACCACAGACTTCTCCAGGTTATGATTTGCCTTCAAACACCGAGGCAGATATGTGGAGCATATATTTTTAATCTGAGCCAAATGCGCTTTTTGCAGAGGGGTTAAAAGGGCGAATGAAAAATTCTGTAAATTATTTATAATAGCTGAAACTCTTTTAGTGTTCCTCTGTTGGGTTGGTAGTGAGACTGGAATGTCCTTTACTTATACATTGTCAGATATGTGGTGAGGAGGTGCTTTTATCTACACCAACAAAAGAGCTGTAGGTGGAGGAAGAAGTAGGTCACGTCATTTACTTTAGGTCAGAAAGGAGCAGAGAGATTTTGACAGGTTTAACTAGACATATAGAAGCAGTTCATTCAAACATGGCACTAATTATTGTGTTTTTTTTTCTTCCCTTCTAGTGATGCTTCTGAGGAAGTGCGTTGCTCTTTGAAGTGAGGAAGGAAGGTTAGTAGATTGTTCCGTTATTTATGTCACATAAAATGAGGGGTCATGTCTGAGGTTAAGAAGTGGTCACAGAGGGACAAAAACAATTCACCAGTTAGCTGGTCGAGGTGAATCAAAGAAAAAAGTAAAAAATCACTTGTTTGCACTCTTTAAACCCTTTGACTAGGAAGCAAAGACATGAAGAACCAAAGCTCATGGTTTGCTGCTTAACTTTCAGCCTGGCCAAGCTGGTGTTTCCCAAAGTGAGGTTTATGAGTGAACTGCAAGAGCTTTGTGAGAGAAAAAGTACTTATTACTGTCCCTTTTATCAGTAGTATTTAGTGATCAGGTCAAGTTTTTGAGTATTTAGCGCACACAGACACTTAATTTAATATGTAGGTGATCGTTTTTGAGATCTATAGATGGTGTTGCTCTTTTCATTCAGGACAGCAGTGTGGTTGAATCAAGCAGGAGTGGTTAGCGCACACTGTTTTGAGTTGCAGGGTTCAGTTCTGGAAAGAGTGGCTCAAGCACCTCTTTCATTGCTCAGAGAAATAATGTGCGGCCGGAGAAGAATCTGACACAGATAGGGTGATGAATTCTGCAGAGTCATTAAAAGCAAAGTGATGCTGAAAAACACATCTGTGCCGATCTTGGACCACACTTCAAAGGCACATGCTTCTCCTGAGGCAGCTGTATGTAGCAAGCACTTTTAATTTATTCCCCTGGGCTGAAGTACTTTTTGTTGTTGTCTTGATTTTTGTATTTAATTATTTACTTTCTGGGACAAGAGATTTAGAATGGAGATGGCTGGATGAGACAAATCTAACAAGCCACTGAAGAAAGTGTTGGCAACATGACCGTAAGCGACGTCCACGATATACAGCTAACAGTATATGCACTGGCATAAAGGTCCCCTCCTCTCATGCTTGTTATCGCCTTCTAACATAAGAAAGTATAAAATTACAAGCTAGCAAGTGCAAAACTAATAACATTAGTTCTGATGACATGAAAGCAAAGCAAGACTCCGCATAATTTTTTGTAAAGGCATTAAAACAACTGTGATTCAGTGTGTCATTTTTACGGAATTGAATGCAATTTTAACTTTAAACTCCTCATGTTTAGTAATGTTTAATGTAACATTTCTATGTGTAATGTAGGTCTAAATGACTATCTGTTCTAAAGTGTTCTTCTCTCTGCTGCAGGTTGAGAGAGCTCTCTCCAGCACATGCCTCCCTCATTAGTGTCCAGCAGCTGAAGACTCGAGGTCACAAACCCAATGAGCTGCCCATTTCATTCAGCTTTGCCGACATGGAAAGATGACCACTGTGACCTAATGTTGCAGTACAGTCTGACAGCACATTGTACACAACATACAAAGTAGCTTGAATAACCCTTGAATCTTGTGTGGAGTGCATTATTTTTTATGAAATTGCTGTAGTGTCCAACTTTTCAGCATGCTTGTAGATTTTATTCATTCAATAAATTGTGCATTTTTCTAAAAAAAAGGGAACAGGTCTTGTGATTTATTTGCTGAACTGTGGGTGATGAAATATTTAATATCCTGGGTATTAAAATGATCAGTCTCGGATCTATTGAGAGGGTTGACATGGTTGAATCAGTACCACACTAAGGAACTATTGCACAGGGAATTATTGCTTCAGTCTGAACATGTCACCTCTACAATATTTCTATGATTATAATGTACAATTATCCCTTTTTTTTTAATAATAATGCTTCATTTAGTTTATTCTGAAAATGAATAATACATTTAACTTATTGAACACTGGTTCAGTTAAAAACACTGTTAACGCCTGGCCTTTCATGGTTTTAATAAAATAGCATAGTACAAACATAAGAAAGTATAAAAGTACAAGATAGCAAGTGCAAAACTACCGTATAACATTATTTCTGATGACATGAATGCAAAGCAAGACTCCGCATAATTTTTTGTAAAGGCATTAAAACAACTGTGATTCAGTTTGTCATTTTTATGTAATTGAATGCAATTTTAACTTTAAACTCCTCATGTTTAGTAATGTTTAATGTAACATTTCTGTGTGTAATGTAGGTCTAAATGACTATCTGTTCTAATGTGTTCTTCTCTCTGCTGCAGGTTGAGAGAGCTCTCTCCAGCACATGCCTCCCTCATTAGTGTCTAGCAGCTGAAGACTCGAGGTCACAAACCCAATGAGCTGCCCATTTCATTCAGCTTTGCCGACATGGAAAGATGACCACTGTGACCTAATGTTGCAGTACAGTCTGACAGCACATTGTACACAACATACAAAGTAGCTTGAATAACCCTTGAATCTTGTGTGGAGTGCATTATTTTTTATGAAATTGCTGTAGTGTCCAACTTTTCAGCATGCTTGTAGATTTTATTCATTCAATAAATTGTGCATTTTTCTAAAAAAAAGGGAACAGGTCTTGTGATTTATTTGCTGAACTGTGGGTGATGAAATATTTAATATCCTGGGTATTAAAATGATCAGTCTCGGATCTATTGAGAGGGTTGACATGGTTGAATCAGTACCACACTAAGGAACTATTGCACAGGGAATTATTGCTTCAGTCTGAACATGTCACCTCTACAATATTTCTATGATTATAATGTACAATTATCCCTTTTTTTTTTCTTTCTCGGATCTAAGTTTTCTCTGGCTTGTCATTGTTCAAAAATTTCACGTACACAATATGAAAGAACAATAAAGTCTAGACTCAATGTCATTGCTTGGATTTGATTTATACACTTAAGTATTTCACATGCATAATGCAAAGTAGCTCTCACACTTACTGTACAATAATGTGACTAAGGTAAAATGAGCAAAATAAAATTTCATGTTTTAATGCCCCAGAAACGCTGGTTGGCAGTTTTCTCTGAATTGCATCAGGAAGTGGTCAAGATGCACAAATAAAGCTACTTTGGTCTGGAAATGAAAGTTCATTTATTCTGCTCTTTCTGCATGTGTCACAAAGAGTTGATCACATGGGAGTCTACCTGAACACAAAGCCAGGCATTGTGTGTCGTTCTGACCTCAGTGTCATGTGACTCTGTTATGGCCAGGTGTTGCCTGTATCTGGAGCAGAAAAGATGTTTTGCTCTTAAGACCAAACCAAACAAACTAAAGCAACAGTGAGGAAATGAAATATAGGAAAGCATACCTAAATCGAAATAAAATGCATTGAGAGTTACATGTATATACGTGGGGTTCAAACATTTAAAACTGGAGAAAAAAAAACATGCTATTAGTATTATTATTTATTATTATATGTATTACATTTCATGGAAAGAAATGTTAAGATTTAAAATTGAGAAGTATTTAAAAGCATGCTAAATTTTTAGGACACTTATCAAATTTGTGACATTGAGCATGATGTTCTGAAATGTTCTTGCTTCCATTGAAGCTCAACATGCTCTTTGAATCATGTATGCTGAATGTTGAATCATCTGGTTTTACACAATATTGAGTCCATTTTTGTTAAAATTTTGTTTGCTGCGTCTGCACGTCTCTCTCTACAATCAATTACTTCAAAAACAGCAATTTTATGACCTCGTTGCTGGGAAATATAATGTAGCGATCTAGTAAAATCACGGGGAAGCGTTAACAACAAGTTTATGTGTGTGTGCAGCACAATCAGCGATCTCTGACCCCTCTCTCTCTCTCTCTCTCTCTCTCTCTCTCTCTCTGTGTCTGTGTCTGTGTGTGTGTGTGTGTGTGTGTGCGAGTGATGTGTGTTGGTTAGTGTGCATCAATTAAAGCAGCGCATTAATATAGAACGGTGATTAAACTGATTTGGAACTAGCTGTGCATTAAATAAATTTACTTACTACCTGCCAGCTAATCAGAATCCAGTATTCAGACAGACCATGGAATAATGCAAACTATACAATGACTTTTATTGTTTACTTTAAAAAATGCTACATTTAACAGCATTTTGCTGTAAAATTATATGAAATGTATTACAGTCTTTCATTGTATATATTAAAGAAACATACTGTTAACCAATTAACAGGTTTACAATTAACATCATTTTTACAGTGTGTGTATAAAATTATGCAAATAGAAACTGAAGCATTTTCACTAGTGGTCTCAGAATTTTGGAACCCCATATATATGTTCAATAGTGTGTGTCTGTGTAATGAGTGGTCCAGGTATTCCCAGATATACCAAATGTCTCCACAGGGATAGAAACACCTGATTTATTTATTTATTTATTTATTTATTTATATTTTACATTGTGGGGACAAAATGTTGGCCCCCATTAGAAAATTTGATTTTTGTATTTAATTATTTACTTTCTGGGACAAGAGATTTAGAATGGAGATGGCTGGATGAGACAAATCTAACAAGCCACTGAAGAAAGTGTTGGCAACATGACCGTAAGCGACGTCCACGATATACAGCTAACAGTATATGCACTGGCATAAAGGTCCCCTCCTCTCATGCTTGTTATCGCCTTCTAAGTTTTTAAGAAATATAATACTGTAATAACCAAAGAGAGGGAGAAAGCTATAGGGGGTAAGTGGAATCGGATAAGTTATTCTCTTGCTCAACAGCAAACAAGAAATAATGAGGGGAGGCAAAAACACAAACCCTCCCAGACCTGTGTTCTTCACAACAAGAAAAAAACACACTCTTATCAGGTTATAAGGAGACGTGTAAGCAAAAACCATGCGAGAGGATGCGGAGGAACAAAGGTGAAGACAAGAACGTGTCGGACACTCGATTGTTTTCCTCTTTGTTAGTGAACAGTACATGAAGATTTTTGAGAACTTGGCGATCTTTTTGTCAGTCATGCACTGTACCTTGATAATGGCTTAGACTCGAAGTGATTCTCCTGATTCATGTTTCATAATGAGGCACGGTTTAGTTTCCTTTTGTTGAAGAATCGAAGGCCTGTTGAGAAGTCGAACTCCTGGTCGGTGGAAGGAGTTGTGGAAGTGAGAAGTGTCCATTTCATCTAAGATGATGTTTCAGGATGTGAGTCAGATCTCAAAGGCAATGAAATTTAAAGCATCATTTCATCTTTGTGCGTGCATTGTGCTGGTTTGTTTTTATTACCAACTTGAAACACAGAAAGGGGGAAAACAATGGGCCCACAATGGCGCCTGAGTGAAGAAGTGCCTACGATGAGGTTTCATTTCAGATGAAAGATCTTGAGAGCAGCAGTCAGAGGGCCATCCCGGGTCTATTAGCTCCAAACCATTTCAGAATTCAACTTATGAATGTGCACTTAAAATCTGACAGGGCAATAGAGACAGTTCATTTTGCTACAATCCTCCATTTTTTATTTCTCATTGATCTGTTCTCCTCAAACTGTACAGTTGGATTAAGTATGTATCTATATTAAAGAGGTATAATAATACATTGTAAGCCTGCCGACAGACAGCCTGGAATATTGGGAATGTCAGAATCCCTCCTAGTGCTAGACAACTTTTAATAAAACTGGCAAGCTGTGTGGACAACTTTGTGATGCTTATGAGGACTCTTCCCTTGTGCCTTGTTGTTGCAGAACTATGTATAGTAAAGTTGAGCATAATTGTTAAAGTAATTGAGAAAAGTAACTTTCTCGTCTGAAATAATAATGCTTAATTTAGTTTATTCTGAAAATGAATAATACATTTAACTTATTGAACACTGGTTCAGTTAAAAACACTGTTAACGCCTGGCCTTTCATGGTTTTAATAAAATAGCATAGTACAAACATAAGAAAGTATAAAATTACAAGCTAGCAAGTGCAAAACTAATAACATTAGTTCTGATGACATGAAAGCAAAGCAAGACTCCGCATAATTTTTTGTAAAGGCATTAAAACAACTGTGATTCAGTGTGTTGGTTAGTGTGCATCAATTAAAGCAGCGCATTAATATAGAACGGTGATTAAACTGATTTGGAACTAGCTGTGCATTAAATGGTTTTACTGCATACCTGCCAGCTAATCAGAATCCAGTATTCAGACAGACCATGGAATAATGCAAACTATACAATGACTTTTATTGTTTACTTTAAAAAATGCTACATTTAACAGCATTTTGCTGTAAAATTATATGAAATGTATTACAGTCTTTCATTGTATATATTAAAGAAACATACTGTTAACCAATTAACAGGTTTACAATTAACATCATTTTTACAGTGTGTGTATAAAATTATGCAAATAGAAACTGAAGCATTTTCACTAGTGGTCTCAGAATTTTGGAACCCCATATATATGTTCAATAGTGTGTGTCTGTGTAATGAGTGGTCCAGGTATTCCCAGATATACCAAATGTCTCCACAGGGATAGAAACACCTGATTTATTTATTTATTTATTTATATTTACATTGTGGGGACAAAATGTTGGCCCCCATTAGAAAATGTATAAATCATGCTAAATTATGTTTTGTTTTGTTTTTTAAACACAGAATGTTTTCTGCAAGGGCTTGGTTTAGAGTTAGGACATCAAATATGAAGTTTGCACAGTATAAAATATCATTTTGTTTATGGAGAGTTCTCATAAAACACAAAAACCCAACCTGTGTGCCTGGTGTCTTTCACATCAGTCCCATGTGAAATCCAGCTAAAAAAAAGTTTTTTTCTGAACATTTTTAACTGACTGGAAGCATTCACAAACCCTCCAGCAGTTGT